AGCCGCTGGGTGATTGTCTTCCTGGCTTGTCGAAGGGCAAGCCGGGTCTCGTCGTAAGTTCAGTAGAAGTTTTGTGAGTCTATCCTCGGCGACGAGGCTTTCTTCATCTTCCGCGAACTCCTTTTAAAAGTATCTACGAAGCGTTCTGCCTGGCCGTTAGACTGCGGGTGGAACGGAGGTGACTTGATGTGTCTTATACCGTTCTTCTTGCAGAACTCGCTGAAGTCGTTGGAAGTAAATTGAGGTCCGTTGTCCGTCACTAGCGTTTGTGGATTTCCGAATTGGCCGAAGAGTCGACGCAATTCTCTGATCGTGCTGCTCGTTGTCGTAGATGCCATTTCGACGATCTCCGGCCACTTTGAGAAGGCATCAACGATGATGAGGTACATCTTCCCCTCCATCGGTCCAGCGAAATCGGCGTGTATGCGATCCCACGGTTTCTTCCCTCCCATCTGGCCATGAGCAGCGGTTGCTTTGATAGGGCTCTTCGCAGTTTCCTGGCAGCGGCGACAAGATCTGACGAAGTCTTCGATGTCGTTGTTGATGTTCATCCAGTACACGAAATTCCTGGCGAAGCCGGGGGGGCATGCTTCATCCGTGTCCATTCCCTTCGGGTGCCCATCGTGAAGTTCGCATAGTACGGCATTTCGTAAGGTTGCGGGAATGACGAGGCGATCTCCAAAAAGTAGACATCCATTTTGTGTCGAAAGGGATCTTCTTAGGGAGTTGAATCGGGTTGCGACATCCGACTTCCTTGGCCACTTTCCATCTCTGATCCACTCGAAAATATTCTTCAGATCGGGATCCTTTCTTGGTTTCTTCTGCTACTGTTTCAGCGTCGACTGGCAGTTTCGTCGTTGCGTTGGCGAAAATAGTCGTCGCATCCATCTCGATCGCTGCAATGACTTGGTCTTCTTGGGTTGTAGATTGCTCAGCGATGAGGCGCGATAAGACGTCTGCTTGTCCGAAACTGGTGCTGCTTCTGTACTCAATACTGACATGTCGTAGCTCTTCACTATGAGGGCCCAGCGTTGCAGTCGATTCGCCGTGTAGACAGGCACTCCTTCCTTGCTCCCAAAGATGGCTAGGAGTGGCTTGTGGTGCGGTTAACAGACTTTGAAAAGTGACGTCCGAGGACTGTAGCGCGTGGAACTTCCGCAGAAGCGAACACCGAGTAATGGCGAGAGCTGTCCTTCTCGACTTCGACCGTAAGTTCTTCTCGGCAGTACGCTGTCAGGAACGCAAAGCACATGGTGTACGCTTTCTCATGCTATCCATCCGAGAACGATGACTATTCACTGCTCCTATCCCCGTACTCCGATGTCGTCGCGCCGCGATGACGATCTCCTTTGTGGGATCGTAGTGGGTGAGCAGTAGGTCCGAGGCTAGCACATCCTTGGCGCGTTGGAAGGCATCTTGGCACTCGGCAGACCATTTGAACGACGCATCCTTCTTCAGAAGAGCATCCAACGGTGCACGAAGTTGTCGCATCTCGCTGACGAAGTGGCCGTAGTAATTGAGCATTCCCAAGAACGATCGCACCTGGGCAATGTCCGTGGGCTGTGGCATCTTGCGGATAGCCTCGAATATTGGCGGATACGCGGTCGGCGTCCGGTTGAATCGATAACGTTTCCCAGGTATCGGAGTTGTGGCATCAGGAAGTTACATTTCTCGATTCGGACGCGGAAGCCATAATCGGATATCCTTTCGAAGAGGGCTTCCAAGTTGGCGACGTGCTCCTCGATAGTGCGGCCGGTGACGATAACGTCGTCGAGGTATGCAGCGCAGCTTGAAGTCCGCAAATCATGGAATCAATGACTTGCTGGAAGATGCCGGGCGCAGATTTGATACCAAACGGGAGGCGGTTGTAACGGAAAAGTCCTCTGTGCGTATTAATTGTCAAAATCTCCTTCGCCTCGTCGTCGACTTCGATTTGGAGATAAGCGTCCGCGAAGTCTATCTGCGTGAAAGTCGTGCCGCCATTTAATTTGGTGAATACGTCGTCTGCAGTGGCAGTGGATGCTGGTGTAGCATTAGGGCATCGTTTAATCCGGTTGAAAAATCAGCACAGAGTCGTAGCGTTCCATTTGTTTTCTTCACGACGACAATAGGTGCTGCCCAGGCAGAATAGTTGACGGCAGAGAGCACTCCTTCTTCGAGCAGGCGATCGATCTCTGCGTCCAAAGCCGTAATGTAGGCGTACGGCACGGGGCGTTTCTTCTTAAAAACTGGATGAGCATTGGGCTTCAACTGGAGCGTCGCCTTGGTCTTCGTACATCGTCCGAGTCCATCTTTGAATACAGTCGGCTAATCCGTAGTACAGCCGTCTTCAAATTGGCGACGATCTCGTCTCGGGCAGCGGCGGCAGGCATCAAGGCCCAAGGATCAGTCACGACACATTGATGTTACTTCTGCAGTGGGTATCACCAAATCTGCGGATCTTCGTGGATCCACTCCACCGAATAAGTCAGATTCGGTGACGTAGCAGAATCCTTGTTCGTGATGCTGCCTTCCATCGGAACTCTTCAACGCAAAATCCACCATGACGCGTCCACTTGTTGGGATCCTCGTACCATTGGCGGCGTTTACGATTTGCCGTCGTGTATTTCTCTAGGTGTGGCCTTCCGATTTTCCTCCAGCTCGACCTTGAGATCAGAGTGATCATGGCGCCAGTATCGAGTAGAAGGTTCAGAGAACGTCCATTCACTTCGACTTGTAGGTGTGGCTGAGCGTTCTTGCGTAGAGCGGCCGTCCAATAGCATCCTGATCGGTGGTAGCGCTCCTTGCACCGCGACGTCTGGTCTGAGAACGTGACGGCGACCTTGATTCCTGATTTCCAGATCGTGGTGGGTGAGGAAACGCAGTAGTGTCGTCCTTATTCTTCCGCATCTGCTTCGGCTTGAAATTTCTTCTTTTCCTCCTTCTGGTTACGTAATTGACTCTAGTGCCAGCACCGGAGGCATTTTCCAGCATTTTGGCGTCTTCTTTATAAGATTTAATCAGCTGGCACTCACCGGTAAGGTCCTTGATCGAGATGTTGTCACCTTGATCCAACTTTCTTAGAAGGCGCGTCTGTAGTCGCGCAAATATTCTCTCCTTAATCCCGGCCACATAAAAGACATTTGTAGGACCGTCGAAATCGAGTGGCGGTCGAATTGCATTCAGAAACATTCGCGTCCGCACCAGTGTTTCGTAGTTGTTGAAGTCTTGGTGATCGTACTGTATCTTGAAGCACTCGAATCGTCGACGAAACAGCGTTTTGGCAGATCCGAATAGACGATCCATGGCCGAAACCGCTTCTTCCCATGACAGGTCCGACGGCGACTTAGGTGCAATGGAGCCACAGAACAGCTGGTGGCAGTCTTCATCCAGTCGGCTGACTAGGAGACGGGTCCTCTCTTGCTCGCTTAGCTCAGTACAGTCGTTGTCAAACACATCTTTAAATCGCTTGAACCATACGTCAAAGGTCTTACCATTCTCCGCATCGAAATTGAACTTGTCGATTCGTCGGCACATGGAGTCGAAGATGCTGTGTTTTGCAGTTGCTGGGCACGCCTCGACCAATCGCTGTTCCATCTTCTCCATCATGCGCAGGAAAGAATCGGCGGTCTCTTTGTTGCCTGTTGCTGCCATGAGTCGCCATGGTCTCTGGGGTCCTGACGTTTCCATCCGGGCCGTTCAGTTAGAGCGAGAATATCGTGCCAAGTGTCCAAATAGTCCTTGATTACCTAGATCGCCAGGTTGCTTGAATCCGGATGTAGTAGGCAGAATCGGCAGTAGAAAATTTATCAGAGAATGAACTCAACCACACAGTGGGGTTTATATACCCCCGATATGATATCAACATTTAGGCGGAAAAACTGTTTCACTTTTCCACAGGCACGGGGTCGGCCTATCCAACAGTGTTTACCTTCAGATCCACCTTCAAATTAAAATGAGCCTTATTAGAAATAGACGGTCGGCGCTGGTGCTTGCTGGAGAGAGCGGGTCGAGTTCGGACTTTCCCCGTTCGTTCAGATCGTTAAAGCAAAGCCCGCGGGACCACAGATTGGGTAACGGAACCCACATAGGAACGAAGAAGGGCTTGGTATCTGATTAGCGGAGAAAAGCAGCGGAAAAACAGCCGAGAATGCCCTAAATAGGATTCCATATCGACCCCAACTTGTACATGCATGCAATGAAGAAAACGCATGTTTGTACGAATTTCCACTCGTCGTATCATAAAGATATCAGTTCTTTATCTTCATGACCCACTCTCACCATTTCAAAAAAAAATAAAAAAAAAAGCATACTAGCATATCCTCTTTTACACTGTAGACATTTACGGCTAAATTGAATTATCATCGTCTTTCGCCGCTATCTACCACCAGGAAACATCTATAGGGCGACGTCGCACGCGACGCAGCAGCGCGACGAATTATGATTGTCTTGTCACCCCAATGTTTAGGCACTGTTTAGTAGAGCTTCTTATCGGCAGCAAAGCGGAAGTACTGAGAAGGTAAGCAAGGGGTGAACAGGGACACTAAGCGGGAATGAACGTCAAAAATTCAGTAAACGGTTCCAAAGCAGCTTAGGAAGCGGAAAAAGAGGACCAAGTCAGTGGAGATCAGCACATGAGATAAAACATGCGGCTACTGGAAGGACCATGCGCCGAGATGGGCCGGACAAAAATAAAGAATGGGTATCACTTCCAGGGCACCCCACAGCCCAGAAAAATTAAGGAAGGGTGAGCACAGGTTTGCGACGGTTGCCGATCCGATCGCTCGACTGAGCGGCCTTCTAAGAAGTTTTTGCAGGAGTGAATGCTCTTTGGCTGATGAAGAAGTCGTTCCTCCATCATTCCATGACTGCCCTACTTTCGGCTGTTATTCTCTTCAAAGTTCTGAAGGTTAGTAGCCGTTGTCGTGGAAATTCCATACCACGCACCTTTCTCGAACACAAAAATGCAGTTTAGTCACAACAATGAAGGATGCAAAGTATCAAAATTTGAAATGAACTTGTCAAGTGAGAAAAGTTTGCACTTGAAAAACAGCTTGTTAATTGATTTTTGGCCACTGTTATAGATACAACAGTGAAAAGACGGTACAATTTACCTCCATGCCATGCCTCTACATCCTCAGGATGAAATCTTTGCGGATGTTCCATCATGTACAAATTCGCTGGTTTAGATTCCATCCGTGAAAGCCTAGAAGAATCATAAAAGAACTTTGGGAATAGAGAGAGGCACCTCGAGTAAAGGCCAGTTAACGACAAAACGTACTTTGCATAGTTCGTGATATTTTCAACCGGCTCCTCGTAGAAATCTATAAGATCTTGAACCGACTTCAAGTGCATGAGCCGTGAATTCGTAGGGTAATGTTTGAATTTCTCACCGAGAGCCAAAATGACCTAAAAGGACGCGAGGAGTAATAAGTGCACAACAGCGAAGAAATGAGGAATCACAAGATGTTACCTGCTGTCCGATTACTCTAATTTTTGTTATACACCAGCTTTTGAACCTTATGCATCAAACTCTAGTCCCCATATAGTGACGAATACATGCAAAACGTTGACTGACTTCTCAGGCACCCAAACGCAGACAGGAGCAGAAGGGGAGAGGGGAGGGATAAAGCATTCCCCAAACCATCAGAACTCAAATCGAAAGAAAATGGGTGTTCACTCAAACTGAACAAAAGTGTCGTAAGCGTACTGCAATAATAACTTCTCTTTCAGGGTGAAGATTTTCAAAAAGTCTATTTATTGTTTTTCTCTGGCAAGCCTCTCTAGCAGTTACATCTAGAAGACGCAGTTCTCAACATATCTAGCAAGGCAGGCGGCTCTTGACCTCAGCACTTTTCAGAAGAAAAAAATCCTGATAGCATGTGGAAAAACGTGCCACCGCACTACTAAACTATTCAAGACCCCAAATATTCCGAAACTGGGCCCACTGCTTTACCGATTTTTGTTCTACGCAGGCAGATTTCGCTGAAAATTTGTTCCCAGAAGTATTAGACCTACTGAGCTCGATATCACTATCACAAAATGCGCTTAGCTTGGAACTGCTAGGTGCCTACGCCACAGGGGTTGGAATCAAACAACCCAAGTCGCCGAATTGCAGTAAACTTGAATCCAGGGGTTTGATTTCCTCCAGATGACTGGCGATCCGCTTGGCGCGAAACCGCATGTGGCCCGCGCATAGGAGCCGGCGCCAAAATACTCTAAATCACCAAATTTGGTGAAATCTTGTCCGTAGAAATAGTTTGATCTTTTGAACACGAGTATCGCACCTATTCTACGTGGGGTGCCAATGGAGCTATCGATATGGCAAAGGGGATAAATGTGACAGCGTAGCCTGCCGCGCTTGTCCGCACCCTTTCGCCGAGACAGTGATCCCTTCTTCTGCTAAGGCTGAGATCTAGCAAGCAGAAGGATCACTAACGCAGGCCAATAAAAAGGTTGCTGTCTCGTCTGGCCGTTCTTTTCTAACTGCCCCAGTACTAGCCTGGCAAAAGCTTAGTACTAGGCTTGGCTCAAGCTCGAAACAGCCAGGAGTCCGCACGACGGTCAAAACACGCGTGTAGTGCAGTCACCCGTAACGCGGGTGATAAGCAACTTCGTGCCAAGCAAATGTTATATTGTGATCAGGACACCAAAGAGCCTCAGTAAATGCAATAATAAAATGCAATTTCACTCAAAAAGTGGTGAGAAAAAAGGGGCACCAAACTGGCGCCAGCGCCAAAAGAACATGATATTCGCGATCAAGGCATCGCATTACTCTGATGGGCAAAATTCCTCAAAGAAATCTTGAGTTTTTGGAGTAATAGTTGGACAACACCAGAACCAGTACTTTCTGAGTCACAGCACTATACAATAACAGCAATACAATAACAATTTCCTGTGACAGCACAAATATAGCCAGAAAGAAGTGATATAAGAAACTGAGTATTACCTTCATTTTGACATCATTATCCTCTAGCCGACACTGAGATAAGTTGCTGGCTTCTTCACTTGTCTTAGATAAGTATTCTTTTGCAAGTGATAGTACAGCATCTTCGACGCCTTTGGGTGGTTTATAGTTGTAGCGATATTTGAGGAACCTGGAATACACCTTTGATAGTCGAAAAAAGTTATTCAGCAGAGAAGATCGCGACAAGACTCACCCACGCGCCCGAATGGAATCTGCATCTACTCGATAACCTAGAATCTCATCAGTGTCATAGCTCTCAGTTTCGACTGGAGTTCTCGATTTCCGTACATCAGATCGTATGGGAAGTATCCGTCGCAGTTTCTCCTTAACATTTATAAAGCACAAGATACCCACAAAAACTGCATCCTATACTGCCGTGATATTGTGTTTCTGTGTGTCTGCCTCTAGTTTGCTTCGCGCGAATCGAGCGACTGGACACGAAAGGCTAATGCCGTTTGGACTCCAGCAATTTCGGCACCGAGCTCATTTTCAAATTGCCTAAGTCACCAAACCCGCTAAAAACATGTACACAAGGGTTATTTAACATCGTGATTACAATTACGACACTCATTCTTGGCGCTGGCGCCAAGAGATGACACTACGATTACCTCCTGGGCTCAGCCTTAGCAGAGCGCAGATAATCGTAGTGTCATCCATTAGCGCCAGCGGCAAAATGAATGTCATATTCGTAATCAGGATGTTGAACTACCCCTATATGTGTACAAGTTTTTAGCG